CCAATCGTTTCGGGGTGCTGTCTCCAGGCCCGGCGAATCTTCACAGCGCGGCTGTGCTCCTTCGTCCACAGCCTCACGCTGACTCACCATGGCCGACCGCACGCAGCCATTGGTGCTGCACCACAAGAACCCGGTGCCGTCCTACGTGCCCAACACTTGGCGGTGCTCGATGCTGCACAATGCGTGCCTCACGCTGTCCACGCCGCAGCCGACGTGCTCCGCTCGATGCCGCAAGCGACCGTGGCGGCTGGACGTGTACGGGCCGAACGCGTCATCGCAGGTGCGCCAAGTCCTCGCCGAGCGCCGCTTCATGCGTGATCCCATCGAAAGCTTTAAGTTGCGCCCCCTCCAGCGCGACGTCCACAACATGAGCGCCGGAGCGGTGCCGCCGTCACCCATACTGCGTGGCGAGGCCGGAGGCCTCACGATGATCTGGCCCGTTTTTGAGCCTTCGTACGGCGACTTTTGGCGCGACACGATGCTGCCTCTCGGGCACCTGCTCTCGTTGGGACGGCTTCCGCACCGACTCGGCTTTTCGGGGCTGCCGACCGGCTCGGGCGCGCTGGCGAGGACTAATGCGGTGGAGGGGCTCGAGCGGATACGTAGCGTGTGCACCTTTGAGCGGACGTCGCCTCGCACATTGCGGTGCGAGGACGCGTGCTACGAGAGCGTGCGGCTGTGCGAGATCCTCCCGCACAGCTCGTTGCGCGGAAGTGCCGCGTGGCTCGCCATGGCGTCTCTCGATGCCGCGCTCGGCTTCAAGGTGCCGCAGCTCAAAACGAGCGCCGTCTCGGCCGAGCCGGGCGTGCTGCGTGTGCTGCTCGCGGCACGGTTCCCCTAGATGCTGAATGCAGATCCCTGCACTCAAAACTGGCACTCTGCATACGCTGCACGATACAGTGGCAGATCCCTGCACTCAAACTGGCACTCTGCATACGCTGCACGATAAGTGTTCCCACTTTCCTCAGCTAGTACTAGGCACGGTACGCGCGCCGATTCATCCTCAACCTGAACGAGGTGGTGGCTGCGTGCGACGGCTTGCTCCTTGGCGGTTGGACGCTGCGATGCGAGGCGCACGCCCTCGCGGGAATGTCGCTGCACGCCGTGGTCGCCAAGATGCGGCAGACGGACGTCTTTGTCTCGATGCACGGCGGCGATTGCATCAACGCGCTGCACATGCGCCCCGGCCGCGCAGTGATCGAGCTGGTCAACCACGGGTTTGAGAAGGCGCCGTGGGTGTGGCTGGACCAGTACATGCGGCTCGTCAAGAGGACTTTTCGCGTGCGGCGCATCGTGCTGCCGTCCACTTCGGGCCAACGAGCTTCGGGCAGCAACCAGACGCAGAACTGGAAGCAGATGCAAAAGAATTTCGCAGACGCGTGGAACGCCAACGGCACTCTGCCATGGCCTCGCTTGCGCGACGAGCTCCATGCCATCGTCCACGAGCGCCTTCTCACACGGGCGGCGGGAGGGCAGCCGCAGCAGCCGCCACTGCAGCGGCAGCAGCCGCAGCCACCGCAGCAGCAGCGGAGGCGGCACATGACACGGCTCGAACATGAGGGAGTGGACGAACCACCACCCAAGTACGGCACGTTGGTGGTGCTGGTGCCGTACTTTGGAGCCCTGCCGCCGTGGCTGCCGATTGCGCTCGCGTCGATGGGTGGTCCCAACGCCGAGTTGGTCCGGTTCTTCATCGTGGGTGATGCGTCGGTTCCACCGGACGTCTCGGTGCCGTCGAACGTGCGCTTTGTGCCGGCGGAATGGGACGAGGTGCGCAGGCGGGTGCGCGAGAAGCTGGGCGTGGACATGCCGTACGACTCGCCGAGCTACCAGTGCAAGGGTTGCGTGATGTACAGCTCAGACCGCGCGGCTGCGAATGCGAGCGTTCTGGCGGCCGAGGCGAGGGCGAGGGTGGCCGGGAGTTTGCTCCACCACAGCAACAAGGTGACGGACCTCAAGCCCTTCATGGCGGCTCTGTGGCCCGAGTTGCTAGCGGGCGCGGCGTGGTGGGCGTGGGGCGACATCGATGTCCTGTGGGGCGACCTGCCTCGCTACCTCGCCCTCGCGCCGCCCCGCGGCTCGTTTGTGTGTCCGCTGCTGCCAAACCCGTGGGGCGCAGCCACGTGGGGTCCCTTCACGGCCTGGCGCATCGCGCACAACACCACAGAGCTCTTCCGTGAGTCGCGCAAGTGGCGGCGCGTCCTGCAGGAGCCGCGGCCGATGCAGTTCGACGAGTGGTGGGGCTCTGGCAGCAGCGACTGGCGCATGTCCTTCGTGGTGCAGCGGCTGGTGCGGCAAGGGCGGCTGGGCGATGCGGGCGTCGCGCTGCCTCTCGCGGAGGCCAAGAGCTGCGTCGACCCGTGCGCCTGGTGCCCGTGCGGCGCACACACCTTTGAGTGGCGCGCCTCACGCGGCGCCGACGGCGTGGGCGGGCTGCGCGTCAACGGCGGCTCCGAGGTGATGCTGCTTCACCTCGCAATCGCAAAAAGGGGGTGGGACGCTGCCAACACGCCGCCGCATGTGGCGAGGGCGACCTGCTTGCATGGCCGCATCGGCACCCAGCGCACGCGCCGCGGCGCGCCGGCGGCGGTGCGGCCCGCGCCGCTGGAGCGCAACCGCCCGGCCCGCGGCACGGGCAGGAGCATCTCGTACGGCGGCCGCGTCGCAGTGGGTGTGTGCGACGCCGCCGACGGCAGTCGACAGCGGAAGAGAGAGAGCTGACAGCCAAGTGCCAACGGAGTACGGCGCTTTGTTGCATTCCAATTTGCTATATCGTATATCTATATCTCGCCGTATAGGACTGTATGTTATCGCGTTGGGGCTTGCGCGCGCAACTACTTGCGCAACTGGTCCTCACAAGAAGATAGATCATAGAAGTGTTTCCTCGGTGTACGGGGTGTGGAGGGTGAGTTGACCAGGGGGTTGTCGCCGGGCCCTCCTGCTCGGCTCCAGCCGGTAGACAAGTCTTGTCATCAACAGAGTAGATGGATCCGACCTCGGGGCCGATGTGATCAAGCGCTGGTAGCGTGCTTTTACCTCATACCCTCGGTCTCACAGTGTGCCGGCAGTCGCCGAGCAGTGTCGCTCACACAAGCCGCAGCACAAGTGACTGAGGGCCAGTGAGGGCGAGCCCATCGCTGTCACAGCTGTGGCAGCCGCACAGTAGGCTGTGTCAACTGTGCAGAGCGTGTGAGCAGCAGAGGAGCTGCTCTCCAGGCTTCTGTCGCAAGGAGCTGCATGCCACCGAAAGCGCTGTCGAGGTTCGCCGAGCGTGGCGCAGGTTGGAGGACACCGTCACCGACGAGCGCGTTGGACTTTTCACTCCGGACAAAGACGGCCACACGCACACGAGCTGCGGTCGTGTGGCCGTCATAGTGGCGAGGCGCGGGACCGTCTGTGGCGAAAGTGGGTCGCGTCCTCCGTTTCCGTCAACGCAGCATCCACACCCTTTACTCGAGTACGGTTTGTAGGTATGTTGTTGGCAAAGGAAGACACAGAGCTCACACAAAATCACAGTGGGTGGTAAGCGAACGAGCCCTTCACAGTGTGTTTTACTCAGTGTTTTCGCGCTGTGGCCCAATGTGGGTGGACGAAACGCAAAGTCCACAACAAGTGGAGACTGTGGCGGTATGTTTGCTTCCCCGCTCCGGCTCTACTCGGTATATACGTGCGGTAATACACTATATACAGTGTGAACGCGAGCCCGTGGCGCACTCCACACAAACAGGGGCGGTGTCATTGGTGTCGCGGCACTCGCGCAGCGAACGCTCGAGAACGCCGCCGCGTGCGGCCGGTCGTCGCCTCTCTTCCCGACCGTCTCGAGCGGCAAACTCACAGCGGCATGCACGGCAGCGCGCCACCCACTTTCTCGCCCGCGCACTACCGGCTCCAGACGCCGCCCTGATCGCCTCCCGCGCTCGCATCTGCGATCTGCGCCTTTCTGCCCTTGTACGTACCTACTCCAGGAGCCGGCCCGCCGCTCCGGCGGCGTGCGCGGAGGGGGAGCGGCGCCACCCACCGCGCGGGCGAGGGCGCAGAGCGCACGCCTGTTTTGGGGTCAAAGTCTGGGTCCAGCCCCACGTCCTTTGAGCCTACGGTGGGAGCGCAACGTCTCGGGATTCGGGTGTCGCTTCCGCACGGTGCTCGCCGCAGCTCCGGAGCCCGTGTTGAGGTAGGCGCCTATTGGCCTCAGGTGTGAAGCATCACACGACGCAGAGCAAGGCGCGGCCGTGCGGAACAGCAAGAGGGCGCCTCGTCTCACCTGGTTTTGGCGGAGGGCGGCGTAGTGAAGGCCCTGGCGGTTAGTTGGAAGGGGATACGTCAGGGCAGCGGGCCGTGCCGGCTCGCCTGAGCCGCCGAGAGCGGCTTGTCGCTCGTCGCGAGCGGCGTCTGGTTGTTCAGGCGCATGTGCCGACGGTGAATGAGGAGCGGGACGGCAAACATCGTGCCGGTGAAGAGCGTCAGCGCAGCCAGCGTCGGAAGGCTGGACACCTGCCGCGGCTGTCGCGACCCGCCCTTTGGCATCGGCAGTGCTTGGGGAGGGGGAGTGGCTGCTGCAGCGACGAGAGAAGGGGGCCACTGTGAAGGGGCTGCAGCGACGAAGAGAAGACGGCCTGCTCCTTCCGCCCCTTCATGGAACCGAAAAAGAATTTTGACCCGATTTCCAGTGCGCGCCAGTCCCGTGCCCAGTGTTGTGCGAAAAAGAATTTGAAACTCGCGACGCGACTCGCTGAGGAGGGTTACACTCTGACCTGTTCCGACCCTGATCCGACCCTGATCCGACCTTATGTGAACACCGACCTGATCCGACCCTGTTAGGTTTGAACAAGGTCGGAACAGGGTTGGATCAGGGTCGGAACAGATGAGCTGCACAGCCGGGAGCCGAAGCATTTATTTAGCACTTCACGGGCACTGTTCACGCCTTGACGCCCTAATCAAGAAGTGCAGCAGAAAGTGCAGCGAGAAGTGCGGTTGGGCTTTGTCCCTAAAACGGGTGCACGATGGGCCCGCTCGCGTCAGGCAGGCCGCAGTGCTACTCCAAGCCGGGAATCAACCCACACTTCGTGCAGAGCATGCGGGCGGTCGCGCAGGAGCGGGCCGCGGCCGAGGCCCGCGGAGCCTACTTCAACGAGCGGACCGCGCTCGACGAGCAGCTGCTCTCGGTGTTTAGCGAGGAACTTCCCAGCGGCAGGACAGTGAGTGGCAGAGCGCGCATGCATCTTCGAGGTGATGCGATTAAGAGCCTGCGGTCGCTACGCAACGGCCACAACCCCTTTGACCGTGCTGTGATCAAACCGAGCTGTTCGCACTGCACCGCGGGCGCGGGCGCGAGCACGAAGGGCCTGGTCAAGCACATCTTCTGCCCAGAGCGGAAAAAGTTCGACAGTACCGTCGAGGCAGAGGCGGTAAATATCTTCAGGGGCAGCCTGATCGACGCGTACAACTGCCATCTCGCCGGCAAGCTCATCGCTACGGTGGAGCAGGCAGCGTTGGAACAGCTCACATATGGCCGCAACCAGCGCTCTCCTCGCCCTAGATGCGCATCGCGCCGCCACACGCCGCCCAGCGCGCGTGCGCCGCGCTCTCCTCCGCTTGCTTTATCTCCCTCATTGCACGACCGCCTCTAATATCGCCCGCGTCGCCCTCCGCCGCAGGGTGAGGGCGGCAGCTCGGTGGCGCAGGTCCCATCTAGATCGCCGCTCCCCGCGCTCTCCTCGCCCGGTGGGCGGAGCGCGCCGCCACACGCCGTCCAGCACGCGTACGCCTCGCTCTCCGCCGCGAGCACGTGCTGAGACCCTCCCACTACCTCGCCTCAGGCCGACGGCGACGCGGGCGGCGCGGATGCGAGCATGTGCGGCGGCGAGGCGGCCACCGTCGCTATCGCGCCTTGCCAGGTGTGTATCAGATCGCGCCACCCGCCCACTAATACCAGCCCCCCGGAAGCTCTAGACGCGCTTCCCCGCGCACTATACCTCCTCCCGTTAGCCCTTCACCACCTCTAGCGTCCACACTACACACAACAGCTACTCTCACATGCGGCGGACGGCCGCCACGGGCACTTTGCGTGGCGATCTCACGGTGGCGCTGGACGGCCTCGGCGGGTGCCTCTCGCGCCTTCGGCTGGAGGGCCGGTCGACGGGCGTCGGCTGGCGCTCCGGCGCGCGTAATGGCAGCCAAGTCGCGATGGGTGGGCCGCAAGAGCCGTCCGACCGTTCGGGCCGGCTTACTGCAGATGGCGTGATCAGCGACGCGGGCCTCGCCGCCTCTCCGGCACGCACGGCCCCGCACACGTCGGAGGGCGGCCACGGCTATGTCTCCCTCCTCGGCCCGGCGGCACGGCGCGCGGGGATGCACCTCTCGACGCCGGGGTTGACGCGCTTCGCTCATTCTTGGCGCGCCAAGACCGCCTCTGCCTCGCCGCCGTCGGCCGCGACTCGGGCACTTTGCGTGGCGCTCTCACGGCGGCCCTGGACGGCCACGGCGGGTGCCTCTCGCGCCTCTGGCTGGAGGTCCGGTCGACGGGCGTCGGATGGTGCTCCGGCGCGCGTAGAGGCGGCCAAGTCGCGATGGGTGGGCCGCAAGAGCCGTCCGAGCGTTCGAGCCGGTTTACTGCAGACGGCGTCAGCAGCGATGCGGGCCTCGCCGATCTGTGGCAAGCACGGCCGTGCAACGGTCAGCTGACAGCGGCGGTTATGTCTCCCATCGCGGCCCGGCGTCACGGCGCGCGGGGATGCACCTCTCGACACTTCGGTCGACGCGTTTCGCTCATTCATGGCGCGCCAAGACCGCCTCTGCCTCGCCGCCGTCGGCCGCGACTCGGGCACTTTGCGTGGCGCTCTCACGGCGGCCCTGGACGGCCACGGCGGGTGCCTCTCGCGCCTTCGGCTGGAGGGCCGGTCGACGGGCGTCGGCTGGCGCTCCGGCGCGCGTAATGGCAGCCAAGTCGCGATGGGTGGGCCGCAAGAGCCGTCCGACCGTTCGGGCCGGCTTACTGCAGATGGCGTGATCGGCGACGCGGGCCTCGCCGCCTCTCCGGCACGCACGGCCCCGCACACGTCGGAGGGCGGCCACGGCTATGTCTCCCTCCTCGGCCCGGCGGCACGGCGCGCGGGCGTGGACCTCTCGACGCCGGGTTGACGCGCTTCGCTCATTCCTTGGCGCCTGAAGACCGCCTCTGCCTCGCCGCCGACGGCGGCCACTCGGGCACTTTGCGTGGCGATCTCACGGTGGCACTGGACGGCCTCGGCGGGTGCCTCTCGCGCCTTCGGCTGGAGGGCCGGTCGACGGGCGTCGGATGGTGCTCCGGCGCGCGTAGAGGCGGCCAGGTCGCCATGGGTGGGCCGCAAGAACCGTCCGACCGTTCGGGCCGGCTTACTGCAGACGGCGTCAGCAGCGATGCGGGCCTCGCCGATCTGTGGCAAGCACGGCCGTGCAACGGTCAGCTGACAGCGGCGGTTATGTCTCCCATCGCGGCCCGGCGTCACGGCGCGCGGGGATGCACCTCTCGACACTTCGGTCGACGCGCTTCGCTCATTCTTGGCGCGCCAAGACCGCCTCTGCCTCGCCGCCGTCGGCCGCGACTCGGGCACTTTGCGTGGCGCTCTCACGGCGGCCCTGGACGGCCACGGCGGGTGCCTCTCGCGCCTCCGGCTGGAGGGCCGGTCGACGGGCGTCGGCCGGTGCTCCGGCGCGCGTAGAGGCGGCCAAGTCGCGATGGGTGGGCCGCAAGAGCCGTCCGAGCGTTCGAGCCGGTTTACTGCAGACGGCGTCAGCAGCGATGCGGGCCTCGCCGATCTGTGGCAAGCACGGCCGTGCAACGGTCAGCTGACAGCGGCGGCCATGTCTCCCATCGCGGCCCGGCGTCACGGCGCGCGGGGATGGATCTCTCGACACTTCGGTCGACGCGCTTCGCTCATTCTTGGCGCCTCAAGACCGCCTCTGCCTCGCGGACAGCCGCACCTCTCCAGGTCTTCTCAACATGGACCTCCGATGGCCTCGGACGGTGGCTGCCGTCTCTCGTTGCACCGTCTATGGTGTCAGAGCCGTTCGGTTGTACTGATTAGCGCCATCGATGGTCGGGGTCCATTCCTGCCAATGTGGTCCGCAGTGCTTCCGGACTTTGAGCGGCATGCTACTGCCGCCGACCGAGACTCCTCCGAGACTTCCAAGACACCGCACTCTGCACTTGTCTTCACAACTGACCCACCCTCCTTCCTCGCTGCGCACGTGTTCCCCGCAGTCTCTCCCTCGGGAACCTACTAATACCTTCCCACCGCCCCGTCAGGCCAATGGCGATGCGGGCGCGGGCGCGCCTCAGCCGGCCGCGCCGGCCGCGGCTGCTTGCTTGGACGGGCGCGGCGGCTCGCCCGCCATCGTCTGCGCCGCACCCGTCCCCGCTGCAAGCGGTAGCAGCCGCCGCCCTGATGAGCTCGATCATCTCGATGCGCTCCTCGGGGAGGACGTCCCGGCCCAGGTGAGCGAGCAGCGGGAGCGTAGACTGTACAGCTCACGTCTCTCGAGATTGCTTCCATTGAGCCCATGTGCAAGGGTCTGGGGGGGCTGTCAGTGGAGAGCACTACGGCTGCTCGAAGCGACCCCCCCTCAGTAGTCTCGAGGAGAGAGAAGGGAGGGGGTGGCACCCGCTGCCTGGACTGCCACTCACCCGCCCTTCACGCCCTTGCGGCTCTTCTCCGCCTAAACCACCTCCACAACTGCGCTGCAGGCCGGCGGCGCCGCAGGTGCACTGCAGCGAGACGGAGGCTCGTCTCAGGCGCCGCCGCCCTGCCGTCCCGCTACACACCTGATACATGTTGTCGCGACTTGCCTGTGCAAGGCGGGTAGTCGCGGCCACACGCTCCCTAGGGGACGTCCACCGCGCTCTCCGTAATACTCCACAGCCGCCCCGCCTCAGGTCGGCTCCGGCATCGGCGCGCCGCAGCGAGAAGCCGCTGCCAGCTTTCCGCTCGTCTCGCCGCCGCCGCCGCCGCCGCCGCTGCAGCCCACGAGCGACACCCTGTTGGAGCTGTCGCGGGCGACTGAGCAGGGCATCGCCGAGGGATTCGCGGCTGCGCAGGCGCTGCATGCCGCTGACAAGGGCGGGTTGGCTCTGAGAGATAAGGCCACTCGCACGAAGAGGGAGGTGCACTGGCACCGCCCTACGTTCGATCGCGTCGCCCTGCTGCACGACCCGCCTGAGAAGGGCGCAGACACACGTGCTGCGGATGGCTCCTTCTCCTACCCGGCGGCCCCGCTCTTTGCTGTGGAGCGCTGCCGCCGCCGCCGAGAGGACGGGCCTGCACGCGGACGCCTTTCCCGGCCTGTCGTGCTCGACGCCATCGTCGGGGGCTCGCAGTACCACCTCATCAACTTCGCAGACAAGGAGAGTCTTGGCATGCTCCACGACTGCGGCTTGGAGGGCGTGCCGTGTGGGAACCCGCAGTGCTGCGGTAGCAACGGCAGGTGGTTCACCTCGCCTGTGGGCTGGTCGTCAGACACACGCTCGCCCTTCGTCCTGCTCGCCGCGTCAGGGCTGCCGGAGCCCATGGCGGCTGTCAAGCAGTACTGCGAGACGTGCCAGAAGACCTCGTACCACACGGACGCGGTTGTCCTCCACCGCCTCTTGCCTGTGATTGGCTTCCTCGACTCTCTGCCTTTCGACCCGCGCTACCAGTTCAAGGACGTCTTCCTTGCGCGACCCTTCACCACCTCCCTCGAGTGAAGCACGCCCCGCCGCCGAAACCTGTCGCTCAGAGCCCATCTCTGCCGACCGCTGCACCTCTACTAACCTCGCTGCCACCGATCGCCTTGCACGTAGGTACGACTGCTGCCACCGCCAAGGCTTCTCCGAGGCGCTGGAGAAGGCCCGCGTGGCGGGGGCTGAGCGTGCCAATCATCGTGTCAACCAGTACTATGACACGGCTCAGAGGTGGTTGCAATCGCTCGAGGCGAATCGACCCCTCCCTTCTCCCTTTTTCCTCGACGAGTGCCCATGTCTCACCACGGACTACCCTCGCTCTCCAGGCACTCGTGGGCGACGGGCCCTGGTCCAAGCTCGACCAGGCCGGGCAGTCGGCGCACGCGAAGCTGCGAGGCGAGTTCCTCTACTTTTCCAAGCTGGAGGATATCGTTGAGCACATTTCTGACTTCTCGTCCGTCGAGCACTTTGGCATCTCGCATCTCACAGAGAGCGTCCTCAGCGACCGCTTTCTCGAGGTCCTGCAGGTGGCGTCTCCCTTAACAGAGGCCACCCTGCCTGCCTGCATCTGCGGTGCTCACCCGGTCCCGTTGCACTTAGCGCGACCGCCCCTTTCGGGAGGCGCAGCTGTGCGGCAGCAGCTGCACCGACGTGATTGCCATTGACTTCAACAAGAGGAATGCCGTCACCCTTGGCGGCGGCAAGGATTCCTGGCTCGCCATCGCGGTCGATGTCACGACCAACAAGCTGCTGCTGGAGGAGGTGGTGGACTCGACCTCGCTCGAGAGGCTGTGCGGCTCCCTCGAGGCACTGCATGACCGGCCTAACTTCAAGCCAAGGTTTGGTGTCATTGACAATGTTCCGCCGTGCTTTACTGGGCCTGCTGAACGGTCGCATTCCAAGGTGATTGAGATGCTCAAGGTGTGATTGCGCACCCTCCCTCCCCCCCTTCACTGCCCTCCCAGCCAACCCTCTATTCCAAACCTATGCAGGGGGCACTTCGCGTCCAGGCAATCCTGCAGGATCGCTACCACGTGGGGCACTCCATCACTCCGCTCTTCAACAACACGCACCCCCTCTTCTGGGAGCTCTCCATCAAGCGGCTGCGAGACCTGACCACCGACCCAGAGAAGGGCTACGAGGAGCTAGTGGACCAAGCACTTCTCCACGGGCAGATAGCAAAGAAGGTGAGGCCGCCTAGACACGTCCATCCAAAGACACACCTGTGACAAACTTCACCGTGTGAGAAGAGATCACCGTGACTGTGATAGGTCACGTTCCGCGGACTCACGCGCGAGGTTAAGAAGGGGCAGAGCATGTCGCCGGAGGACATCGCGGCCTGGAAGGACACGGGCCACTGGCACGAGGCCTTCTGCACGGGCGACATCATCGTGCCGACCATCCTCAAGCAGTACGAGGTGATGAGGCAGAACGTCCTCAAAGTTTGGACTGCTGAGGTGCTCGACGTTGCTTCCCCTCTGGTGCCATAATTGTATGTAGGTGAATGTCTGTACTCACTGTAGGTCAAGGCGGCTGCTTTCATCATCAACTCAGACAAGACCTGGCAGTGCAAGCGCTCCTTCAACGGCAAGGCTCTCATTGCCTCCCCGGACGAGGTGGACCGGATCGCCGAGAACTACCTCGCGCGCTTGGTGAACTGCATCCCGCCAGCTGGCGAGTACCCGTACCGCAAGACTGGCCAGCAGACCTCCTCGCGCTTCTCCGACATCGCGTTTGACATCTTCAAGCCGCGCTTCCACACCTGCGGCGTGGAGTGGTGGAACGGGGTGTGCATCTATCGCAATGCCCTCATGCTCTCTCTTCACAACCGTCGCACTCTTCACAGCACATGATGTCAACAGGTCTGCAATCCTGGCACCTTGCCTGTGATGAGCATTCCCCGAGCCTCTGTCCCTACTAGGTGCAACCCGACTATGTTGCTGGCACCAACGTCACCCCGCAGCTGGCCACAGGGCTGCACCTCGAGGGCAATGCGCAACACCTCATGCGCAAGGACATCCAAAACAAGGAGCAGCAGGACTTGCTGCACTACAAACCGTGGCTCGGGCTCGAGACCAACGCGCTCGCTGGCCACGGCTCGCCTGAATTGGGCCTGCGCAAGTTGCTCAAGGAGCCGCCGTTCAAGCTTGTAGCGCCGCCGCCTGTGCCGCCTCGCGAGATTGTCATCCAGAAGCTCGGACGACTTGACAGCCGCAGCGGCGGCGGGAAGGCGCGCCAGGGCGAGAGCTTGCTGAGTGAGGAGCAGAAGCAGGCGCTGCCACGCGTGAGCTTCAGCCCCCCAGCTGAGCCGCCGCCAGCTCGCCCCATGCAGCAGCATCTGCAGTTCCAGCGCCCTCTTGGGCTACCTGCCCCCGCTCCTGCTCCCGCCTCCGCTGCCAACCTCACCTCCGCCCTCCATTCGTCGCTAGCCGGGGCGCTGTCC